GTTCAAAGGGACAATAAAGGGGGCGAGGGCGAAGAGGGCAGAAGGGGGAGGGGTGCGGGCGCGGGCAGGGTTGGTAGGACGATCCATTGTGTATCTGGGCCCTACCTGGGTAACGGTGGTGCTCCTTATTCGTACTACCCTCCTGAACAAAATGCGTACTGAAGAGGACCGTGGCGTCGCTCATGGCCTCCTCCGTCATGATCCTGAGGGACAGCATGAGGCCGCTCCTCTCGACCGGCAGATTCGTCACCTCGAGCATGCTCGGCGTCAGGCTCGTTGCGGACGCCAGCAGCCGCCTGGTGTCGGCGTCGAAGACCTGCAGTACGTAGGTGGCCGTGTTCGTGTCGAAGTCGAGCTCGCTCTCGGCGCAGCTCACCCGTACGGTCGTCCGGCTCTCCTCCCGGATCGTGCAATTCTCCGGCGAGGGTGGTTGCGCCAGCCTCCCACCTACTACCGGAAGTGGCACAACACGCCAGCCTCAGCCTTCGTTCTAACTGACTCGTGATCAGCGCGCGGGGATGATTTCGGGGAGCAGGGAGGTCGAAGGTATAGAGAGCACCGACGGCAACGCCGAGAGTGTCGTTTTACGAGTAGGGAAGGTACGTACGACGATGGATGATAGGAGATTACGATTGAACAATAGCGATGTCCGGTAGACTTGTTTTGGGCAATGAACTTTGGGGTAATCGGTGAGCTCGTGTCATGTTGCAATTAAAGAAACTGACGAACAAGTAGTTAGAAATGTTCTCATTTGTAGATTTGAGAAATCGAAGCATCGGAAGTAATAGAATTTACGAATTTGTTGTAAAAAAAAAAAATTCAATCGCAGGCGATATGTCTTCCTCTTTACGAGTTTCACGAATTTTTGGGATGAAAGTTATCTACGCATCAAGATTATCGATTATTTAAAGACCTCGAAATGAAAAAATATGATGCTTTTATATAAAGTTACAGAAAAACCACGGTTGGGAAGTAATGCATTATCGTTATTTTTTTTTCAGAATTACTTTTTATCAGTAATGAGACTAATGACATTACATTTTCTTATTCGTAAATGACAACGCAGTTATACTTTTTGAATAGTAACGAATATAATCGTTACTTTTATCCTTACTTTATATATGTACGTGGATAAGCGAGAAAAGAAAAAAATGTTAGATATTACTAAAAAAAAAATCATCAAAGGTGAAACAGTAACGCAAAATTATAAAGACTTGTTAGTTTTTGAGTAATGGTAACGATAACAAGTTACTTTTTAAAAACAATAATTGTAACGAATAATGGTAACGAGTTATTTTCCAGAAAAAAGAACGGTAATGGTAATGAGTTACTTTTATAAAGTAATTTTCCCAACCCTGCAAAGAATGGGAGCTTCCTTTAGCGTGTAATCATTCTTTTCTTGTCATAAACAGTTAATGTTGTTAATTTAGTCCTATTGCATTTTACACAATTATAACTTCTTGAACATATTTGTAATGAAAACAATCAAATTTTCTTAATTAAAGCAACAGCAATAAATGAAATAATTTAAAGATAAATGCACTTTTCTTAAAATATACAAAATCATCTACTAAATTATTTCTAGACATAACAATTGTAGTAGCTCGTATGCGAAAATATCCACGTGTCCGTTATGAATTCAAAATGTTAAAACATTTGTTCATACATATATTAATTAATTTTGTAGACGGACTCTAAATTGGATTTATTTTCGAGAAAATTGATTGAATCGCGAAAATAATCGGCATTTTTCACTCGCAATTTACGGCAATCCATCGAGGAATCGTCAAGACATGTATACCCTGAATGAATGAAGCTTAATCAGTCGTAATATTGCCCGCCATAATGCGTCCACGCGTTTCCGCAAACTTGATGGCGCGCGATCTCTTCGAGAGAGCTCGATCACCAGCCGATGGATTTCCATGAAATGTGCCAATCGTTCGTCACGCTGCGCACCGACGTATTTTAATGCAAAACGTCAAAATGCAATCGATACCTGCCAGTCATCGAACGAGACGAATCGATCCGCGCGCGTATTTTTGTCATTTTTATCGCCTCGAAAGCTGCCATTCGATGGCGTACAGTCGTTTAACGCAGCTTCTATAGCTTTTATATCGCGCGAGCAAAGTGTATCTTTTCCGGATGTACAAGCCGAATTCAGATTTCAACGATGTAGGAAATACTCACGCTCAGTATAACGCTTTTCATTAATGCTTCAATTTTCAGTCTCCGCGAACACGAAAAACATTTTTGAATTCGCGTTTGTATGTGTGCGTGACATCTCTTGCTCTCGTCGGTACGATTCGCGGAAGGATCCGAGTTTGACTGAATTTTAGAAACGTACACACATACCTCGAAAAACAGAATCAAAATCGTCGACGCTTTCGAGAGCTCGGGTTCCTTTTCTTTTTTCCCTTATTTCCAGTAGAAGCGACACGTATCGCCAAGTCTTGTTAGTTCAGGCAACGGGCGCGCGCGGGGTCGGATATAAATCGGGCGAGAGTGGCGTAAGGAACGGCGATTTGTAACGAAGGAGAGGGCCAGCTGACGCGAAATACGAAAGCCTTTTATAGTCTGGTTTACCCCTATCTCGGATCCGCTGCAGCCCAGGCCGCAGTAGAGCGGATAAACGACGAAGCTGACGGGTTCTGCAGCCGCCGCCTATTAGCCGCGCATTATTAACGCGCGTAACACCGCTTAACGTCTGTCTACGTGCCACCCACGGGTTAATCGCGAGCAATTAGTTAGAAGAACGCGGCGGAGCGCGGACCGGGGTCGCCGCCGCTTAAATTAGGCCGAGAAATTTGTTTAATGGGGTTACACCGTGGAGCTACTATACCGAAAATGCAGTTCCCGCGACGCGGATAAATTTAGAAGCATATAGACTAAAGTACGTCCCAACAGCGAAAATTCTTGTGCCTTCCTCGTAAAGCGTCGTTCCGATTAAAGGGGTGTGATTTGCGCGCTTCGATTTTATTTAATTCAAGACTCTTTAAAACACTGAAGAAATAAATGTGAGTGAATTAAATATTGATAATATTTATATGTTGGAGAAGAACTCATTTTTTTTAATAATCTATACCGGATTCATGTAAAATAGATATACATATATATATATATATATATATACCGATAAATAATTATCAACGAGCACTAAATAAGTAAGAGATTTATAACAGGGTTTCCTTCGCGGAAGAAAGAAACAGCAAAACAGATGCATTTACCTCTCTCAGCGTGTGTATAATAATATTGATGCGTGCAGTTATTAATTATCTCGTTTATTTCGTCTTTGAATTGCGTCGATATTGGTTATTAGCGACAGCGATGGAAATAAGAAGGTACGAAACGGTCATTGACGAGCGATCATGCGCCGGTGTATGTGTGTCTTTGTGTGTGTCGGTAAACATCTAATTACGTACATTTCATATAAATGTATGCCTGCTACGATCTCGATGCAGTTCTCTACACGTAACTCTAACACGCTCACAGCTTCACATGACATACGTGTGTTTTGATTGAAGTAAAGAGAGTAATACCGCCATAATGCTGAATAGACGCGGATTTTCGGACAGACGGATCCAATATCATCGTAACTCGCAAAAAAATGTGTTTTTCTTTCAGACGAGCATGTGTCATACGGGGAAAAAAATTTCATATACTTGATACATGTATACTCACTCGCGGCAAAAAAAAACAAGCCGACTATAACGTTGCAGCATGGCTCGTTTTTTTTTGCGGGTGATTCTGCGAATGCACCATATTACCGAAACTTGATATCATTCGTTCCCGTATAATATTTCGTGTTTGAAAAGCTAATAAAGCCGTTGTCGAAATATTTTGTAATCAGTGTTTGCGATGGCGAACGAATGGTAAAAATAATATTGTATAGAGTACTATATCGAGAGTATGTATATACTGAGATGCATAAAATAACGGATTGTAATATGATTGGGAAAGAGAATAATGTTCTCTTCGAGCAATAATATCCTCTTTCGTTAATATTTGCTTTTATTTTAAGAATAATTTTGTAATTGAACTGCTGCTTATTCGATCATATCGCATCTTAAACAGAAGTAATTATTTAAAGTTTCTTTCACCTAAAGAGGATAATAAAATCACGCCAAAGCAAATTAGGTCAGAGAATTAACATTACCGCGCTTTCTTTGGAATACGTATATCTATTACTCAAACTATTTCTGAGTACTTTTGACTGAAGCTTATGTTTACTTGTCTTTAAGCAGATCTTGAATACAGCGAGTCGCTATGAAGAAGTTATTATAAGATATACGTTGGCAGTAGAAGATCGGATAAAATAGTTTGCTTTATTATAATTAACTATTTTTCGTACTCCATTGTTGTGTTAATATATCATTAAATATACATTTAGCGTTTAACGAATATTGGGTGCTTCTTCTGTCAGTTCCCTACTTTTAATTGTTCTCTGATTAAGTCATGCTACATTCCCCGTCACCGGGGAGGGGAGGGGGAATCGAATTCCATTATAAACTTATTACTGATTTAAACTTTTCCGCATATATCCCATATAGTTGTTTGCCTAACTCCGGGCGGTAATGAGGAATATCTGGTGCAAACTGTCTGGATGATCTAACGCGAATCAACACAAATGCACGATATTATGGGCCGTGCCCGCGTAATATACTCGTGAACTTTCATGTGGCCACTCAAAAAGCCGCTGGAATCGAGTTACGATGTTATTGCACGAGAGAGAGAGGATCAACATGTTCACACGAGCTCTACGATGCAAGGCCGTGCAGCGTAGCGAACAGTGCTCAAAATATTAGATCGATTCATAAGCAATATCCGTCTGCGATGCTTCCTTTATATTCCACTTTCCGTTTATATATTCGCCCGCATGCATTTACGACGCATTCCGTCGCTTTACCGCCGCGATGGCAAAGTATATACGCGCGGGCGGTATTGTTACGGCATTGGCGCGATTCGGGTGGAGCAACTACTCGATAAACTATATCGAGTCCATTACACCGAGATTGAAAAAATATCACGCCGAGGGAGAGTAAAAATAATTGCGATATTACGGCAACGAATAGATACTTAGACGACGTTTAAAATTCTCTCTGTTAGGGAAACTCAAAATATGTATATATATAAAATGAGTGAAGTTGAATATCTTGCGGAGAGCCACAAAACAGAATAGAATTTCTTAAATGAGAAATACTTTTGAATTAGTAAACGATTACGTAAGAATCAATCTGAATTTTTAAACAACTTATTATTGTCGTTAATTTTTATGATCATTAATATTGTTATCACTATTATTAGCGTTATTATTATTCTTATTACCGCAACCCACAACCAGGACTCCGAAACACAAAGCTGCTTAAAACTCCGCGGAACATCTTCCCAGCTTCGATCTACCTAACGATACCGCACCACTTGGGAATCGCTTCGCGTCGTTCGAAGCTTACTTATGAATCGTCTGGCAAGTAGTACATCGTGGACAACTTAATCGCGGATCGACTCGCGATCGATCATTCCTCTCGGATTCGTTTGTTCGCGGCCGGCACGACTCACCTGTTCGCCTCTCAGGGAGATTCAGGGTGGTGGCGCGAAAATGCACGGTCTCGCTGCGACCTTTGGCGTTAGTGGAGTAAATGGAAACCTCGTAGCTGCTGCCGGGGTCGAGGTTGCTGACGGAGAAGACCGGCACCTTGCTCGTCTGGTTGAAGACAGTCGCGGACCCGCCGCCGCCGCCGCCCTTGCTGGACCCGGCCTCACGTTCCACCTGCATGGTGAATTTTTGCGGCAGGCCGCCGTCAAAGCCCTCTATGCATTCCACGTAGATCGAGTCGGTGGTTTGATTTAACAAGGAGCAGTTGTGCGGCGTGTCCGGGCGGCCTGTTGGATTCGCGCGCGATCAGCGTTAGTATCGAACACGACTCTGTGTGTCGATTAGCGGCGTAATTAGCGAACATGAATGAATGCTTAATTGGCGAATTTGGAAGGTATCCTATGATACCACAGAGAATATATGGCCCGAGATGGAATTAATCCTGCCAGCGAACATGATGGTGGAAATCGTTTGTGGTGGCAACCGTTAATTAAATTAAACACGCAATTACATCCGGTTTAAAGATGTAATTTATTCAAATCGAAATTATTTAATTGAGAGACAGCGTGTGTGCTTCTATCTAATTTCAGATTATTTACGAACTGTTGTAAAAAATTTAATATGACAAAATTGTGTGTGTGTGTGTGTGCGTCTGTGATTAAATTCCTGATTTTAAATGCCTGAAAAAATAACATCCGCTTACTACTGTTCAATCTTTCATCTGTACATACGGAGTTATACGTTTAAAAAGATCACTGTAAAAGCCCTTCATAAAATAAAATAATTTTAAACGAAAAAAATGAAGCTTTAATTTTAGACGGAAAAAGCTGCTGACATAGGAACTGTCTCATGCGCGCTTCTAGATTTGATTGCCTCTCATCGGCCGATACGAGTTTAGTTTGAATTTTCGTTTTTGTTCGAGCGACTACGGTACTCAAATTGACATGTCCCTTTTACGCAACGTTCACTTTAATGACGATTTTTATTGCACGTTCCAGTAGTTTAGTGCCAAGCGTACTAAAATGCGTTTGTCACGTATTGACGCGCCCGTCTACGATCTGTCTTTATGAACCAGGGAAAATCTCCTACAGCGGAGAACGGATTCTTCCGCGATATTGTAACAATACTTGCATCTCCGTTTGCACGCGAATCTTTATGCTTGCCGCGACGATAAAAATGTCGCGATATATGTATCTCTTTTCAATGTTTTTTACGCGAACATATTTTGAGCACAAAGACAATTTTTCTTTGGTAAATTGTATCATATTGTATTAAACTGACATTAAGTAAAAAGAACGCAATTTTAAGTGCGTAATTTGAATTATAGTCGTAAAAATTGAAAGTCAATTGAAAATATTGATAAACAAATGTTGCAATAAACAATGCTACTTTTTCGAAATTTCATAAGCTTTATTACCTAAAGATAATTCTTTTCTTAATTGTAAAGAATTAATTTAAATAAATAATAGTATTAATATAATGATAGTAATAAAATAAATAAATAATATAATATAAATAGTATTAATATATATTCAATATATATTGCTTACAAAACATCGCAATTCTCTTGTAGTCAGAATGACAGACAAACGTAAATGTGAAATAATAACATGCAAATATAAACGTAAAATTGTTTTAACCGACTGATTTACAGCTCTGAATTTATACTCACAATCAGACTTTATTCCTTATTTTAAATAGTACTATAGCTCTGTATCTTTATATTACAATTTCTGATGGATTTTTGAATATTCTGAAAGTACAAGAAAAGTATTGCAAGCAGAAAAATTCGAAGAGCACATTGATTTATTGAAGTTACATTGAGTTCCCCTTCCGGTTTATCGAGATGCCGATAATTCGATGAAGACACAGTGAATTGCAGAACACGTTGCATTTATAATTCACCGGATGTCGGATGGTAGTGTTTCGACGACAAGAAGAGTAAATGCATCGAATCTATCGAATGCGCTTTTCAAGAGTTTCGGAACGGCGCAACATTCGTCTACTAAAATCGATTGCCGTACTCTAAAAAGTCGTGTCGCGCAGCTGCGACGTCATCGCGAAAAAGATTTATCTGTCTTCGTTCCATTTGATTTATTCATCTGGTGACGACGACGATAATATCGTCGAATGGCAGAGCCATACAGAAATATTGTAAACACGCCGCATCATTTATGTATAACATGTAATTTACTCGTATATAATTTACATGTTTGTGTTTCGATTCACAGTCGTTGAATTCAAAAAATTCAAATGCAGCACGCGCGACTGCGAGTCAAGTCAGGGAATACATTCCGCGTTTATTGCATTATTTAATTATGCCACTTTTAGACATTTGCATGTAATACATTTTTGCGGAATTACTAATGACATCGTAATTGGTTTCAAAATGCATTATGCAGCAATTACACGATATAAAATGCAGTTGCACATTTCATTACTGTATATTCAAGCGAAAAGCTCGTTTGTATTTTAATGATTCTTTTATTTTCGGTTGTTGGCATTCGCGAATATGAACTGCCCGCAAGAGCGTGTAAATGAGTTGCCAAAGACGGTCGTTGCGTAAAAAGTATTTCTCAGCAAATCGATTATAGGAGAAGAGGAGAGGTGCGCGCATTCGCGAGGACAGTGTGAGAGACGTATTTGGGCTAGATCCGAAGCAATTTTTCAGAAGGCCAGTGAGATCGAGCACTTACCAGCTGGCACGATATGGTAGACGCACGGCTCGAGCTGAGTGCCCTGGTCATTGCTGCCCCAGCAAAGGAGAGTACCATAGTCCAGCTCGGTCATCGGTGTGTAGGAGGCTGTCGAGCGTGTACGGTCGCTCGTGACGTGCGCCTGAGGTATGTCCACCGCCTCCATTGTATTATTGAATTTCCAGGTGAACGATACTTCCGGCGGGTTCGCCTCCAGCTCGCAGGGGATCCTCGCGGTCTCCTGTCGCGCCACGCCGAATACCTTCGTCTGGCCGGGCTGGCATACCGGCACGACTGGAAATGTAAATGTTGGTTCGTGCGGTGAGAACGGTAAGCTCCGGTATCGCGCGAGTTTATCTTGCGCGAGAGCAACGAGGCGACGACAAACGTTATTCGATAGAAAAAAACGTGCGACATCCGATTCACGGCCACGCCGTATGCTTTCATTACTGAATTTTAATAATTTGTGGGGCACGCACGCGGGCGTGTTTACACACACACACACACACACACACACACACACACACGCGCGCGCGCGCGCGCGCGCGCGTAGATACAAGATACATGTGATTTATATAAGGATCCTTGCTACTATTTTCCAATTACGATTGTTAAAGATAGTCATAATAAAAATGAATTTTACAATAAACCATTAATAATAAAGGAGTTAATTAACACTAAAAATTATTAGGATGAATTAAAGAGACGGAATATTTAACATAGTAGTGTTCTTAGCTTATTTAAAAAAAAATCTAATATATATATATACATTTATACATACATATGAGTGTGTATGTCTGTGTGTATTGCTGGCCATTAAAATTGCAACGTCAAGACAGACATGAGGTATCGAAGTGATATTTATATAGCAGATTATTTATTATTATGATATATATGGGGTTTAAAAAGCACACAGCTTGATATTTTTATTAGAAGTACCTACAGCTCATTTTGATATTCTATCATCTATCCTACATTTTGATTTAGTATGGCGTATTTTTTCCATTGTTGCAATTTTAATGGCTAGCAGTGTGTACTTAAAAATCTATGGCTGGCAGGTGTGTTTAAAAATCTATAATATATGTAATTAAAATATCTAAAATAAGTGTAAAATATTATTCTAGACATATTCCTATCGAACATTTAAAAAAGACAATATAAATATGGCTGTAGTAACGCGTACAATTAGTGTTTTAGAATTATTAAAGATTTTTAAATAAAAAAATTATTGTTAATAGCATCTCATACCATACCATTACTAATGGTTTTTCAATGAATTTCTGTTTGTTGACATTTTAAGAGAACGTATTATATAATGGATGCAGTAAGCAAATCTATAACGCTCTAGGAATATTCAACAGAGTACGACAAAGCATGGAACAGAGGCTCAGAGGATACATCGAAGCAAGAAACAATTTTGAACAAAACAGTTTTGTAACAAAATATTCTGTCTTTTTACTTTGCCTTTTTGTTTATTTCTTTTAAACTCTGATTTGCTTAATTCCATTGCTTCATTAACTGTTAGACATTGAACAAATTTTTAAACTAACTGTAATTTCTAGATCCATGTTTATATGACTTTTTTTTTAATATCTGGTCAATGATTTCTAGACTAAATATAGAGAATATTTGACACTTATTTAGATACACCTATTTATTGTGTGTGTGTGTGTGTGTGTGTGTGTGTGCGCGCGCGCGCGCGCGCGTGTGTATTCAAGGATTAATTGTTTAATTAATTAGCAATTTTCAATGATGTCACAAGGTATCCTCCATTTTAGTATTGGATGCATCTAGTAACACAATTAGATCTTTTCACCGGTCTGTATTGAGGAATGATCGACACGTAAATTCTAGTATACGCCGAAGGCTAATACGATTATTAAGCACTACCCGTAATTAAGCATTAACGATGGAATTCATGTCCCTGCACCATTCCCGAGTTTCGTGTCAACCTCAGTCGACACGGTATCTGATATCGCCGTAATATACATAATACGCAATATACATGTATATATCCTGTAATCTACATATTGCAATAGTGCGCCATTAGTAGAGCATGTCTTCATTGTTCAGACAGGGTGGGGGACATTCGCGTATGTTCTTGAACAACATTTTCCCATATTATATTCTCCGTCGGGAAACAGTTACTAACATCGTTTCACAATTCATGGCAACTGAAAGTACATCGTTACCCACTCGGTAAGAAAATAAGCCTCCGGCTGCGCACACGGCTCTTTACGCCGCGGGGGGGAAAAAAAAAGTGGGAAACGCATTCTCAAGTACTTTGTGAACTATTCGCGGAGCGGTTCGCAAATGAAGAAACTGCATAAACATGTTTAAAATATTCTTGTATTTCCATACCAATTTTCTCTATCGTAATGCGAAAATAAGGGCAATAAAATTTACATTTTCCATCGGACTGAACTTTATATCTAGGTTATATGTTAGAAATATGTATATAATGATAAGATATGAAGAATATGTATACAATCCCTGCATATAGTCCTGTGGGAAAAATATACTGTTCATTTCTTCTGGAGTCACTTGACAAATGAATCGTTTTGACAAATGGACCATTTTTTGGCAAATGATCGATTATATCTTTGAAGAAGATATATTTTTATAAAATTTGCTCGAAAAGCATAGATTTTTCTGTGCAAACTAAGGTAATGCTAATAATTCAATAACGGTTAAAATAAACAAAAGAAATGTATCGATACATATATTATATTTCTTTCGATTTGATTTTCAAAGTTGCAAATATTTGCGCATAAAATAAGAAATCTTCACAAGATTCACAATCCACGATTTTTATCACAAAATTATCACTAAAATTAAAACATTTTTAGATTAGTTACGCAACCGAACGCGTTCATCAACGAGCCGGTGCGCGCGATCGATCGTTATCTCCGGTAGGTACCTGCAATTGACATTCACTTCCACGGACGAAAGAAGATATTCGGTGTAAGCTGACAAAGGATCCCCTGCGACCTCGACTCAGGACGCGGAAGTCTAGTCCGTCTCGTCTGGAAATTCAATAATACTTTGGACGTGGAAGCGGAGGGCCGTAGAGCATGCGGGATATCCGGCGCACATATAGAGACTAGACCCTTCATTGATTAGATCAGTCATAAAATTCCGGACGGTATCCGGTGCCTGCGTATTGCATCCCCTTTGTACTTTGCACAGTTGTCGAAAGAAAGTCCGATCTTGGGGACGCTTGGAATGCCCCGGACAGCGTCCTGCTCCGTGCGTCGCGCAGGGATTGTTACGAAAAGGAACGCGGAACCTTTGTCCTCTCACAGGCGATCGTCGAAAAATATCTTAGGGATGTCAGAAGGTTGCAATAAAGGTCATCAGTTGGGACCACCAGCGACGAGCATTACGCGACATTATATATCTATATTATATGCTACGAAAGGGCGGATTCGCGTTTTGATGACAAACGCGATTTCGCATTCCCGCATATGTAGGTATATATACGCAGATATGCACTCGCGATATACAAATAAGCAATAGCGAGCTTTGTATAAATGATTGATCAAAAATAATATTCCGCCAGTCATTTATCGCAACGCGGTCGTCTCTCACTCGTGAGTTCCCTCGTCGACTCACGGAATTGTTAAGAAAGAACGAGCACACTTCGTGTTACACATATACGTTGCCCCCCCCCCCTCCGCCGTAATACCGCGCAATGCTCGAACATATAAACTCGCGGGAATAAATTAATATAAAAGTTTGTCGTGAAAAATTTCAAGCGCGCGGGAAACGTACGCGCCGCGCGGAGAGAGAACTTACGGAATACATCGCGGCGAAATGGACTTACATAATATAACACTGCGAATGCAAAATGCGGATTTTTACATCGAGATTGTCGATGGTAGTTAAAAATTCGATGCGCGCGCGACGCGACGTCCGTACACGCGATCGCCGTATATATCCCTTCCCGCGCTTTCAAGAAATTGATTGAACCCCCCCCCCCCCGCGGAGCTAAGAGCGAGGACTTGCTCCAAATAATTTCATCGTCTCAGCGTCAAGCGGAATTTCCTTCTGCTCCCCTGTCCGCTTTCTTTATAGAAGCGAGCGTCGAAGTCGACGATATCGGCGGAAACGCGTCAGGGATATCGCTGGTCGATGGTCGGGGCACTGACAATAACCAATTAATGCCGGTCATTAAGCATCAGTGACAGATCGCTCACGCCAAGCGTCCGTGCCAGCTATCGAAATGATATCTGCGCCGTGTATGCATAATTCAACGGGCCGCAATATCGGGCTGCATCGTGAAAAATGCACGTCGATCTGTCGCGCGTGGGTCGCATAGACATACGCGTAGAAGTGAAGTGTAGGGGGAGGGGAAGGTTTGCTTTTTGTTCTGTTTTGGGAATTCCATTTTGGGCGGTCCATCTCGATTATCTACGAGAGCGAATCAACGTGAGCTATAACGTATCCTAAATATTTCGGGTCTGCAAAGGTGTGTTTTTTTTTTACTCCTAAATACGTTTGACTGGAAGATTCTTTTAACTCTAGAGAAAGAACTGATACAGAATTAATCTATTTTAATAATTTTTTTTTCTCTGCTCTATACATATGTATAATCCTGCCATACAATTTATCAATATCAAATTATAATAATTTTCAAAATATAATTTATCTCTTCTATAATATCTTTTTCCTAATAAAAAAAATTCCAGTAAAAAGTCGACAATTTCAGGTAAAAACTGGAAAAAAACATTTAGATTTATATCAAGATATCAATCAGTTATTTCTCAAAATATTAACTTTAAGATCTCTGAGAAAGTTTTCGATTTGCTATACAGTTCGTGTTTAACAATAACAGTCTTAAAATGATTAAGAGCCCGACATTGTTAGTGCAGGAAGCGAAGAATATTTTCTATAGATTCAATTCCAAATAAGAGTCTAACACCCAAAAACACTCTCACGCGAATATAATGTATATATACGCATACTATTTACTTATTAACTGGGAACGGGATGTCTTGTTATTACGTGAGCGCTTGACAAAGTTCTCTCGCTCTTATAGGAGAGTAAAATTACGCCCAACGTATACATATATATGTAAATATATATACTTATATAATGTATATATATATATATATATATATATATATATGTATATGTACTCCGTTAAAGTCTTTCCAAATGTCTGACAGCGAAGTACGTCTGTAGAATACGCGCGGGGGACGTCGACCCAAGAGTTATCGGCTATCCTGCCGTTGACAGATTCCTTAGGAGATTTAACGGTACATTAGTTCCGGAACATCCTATACAGGCCG